TCGACACTTAGACCGCCCTGAATGCTGGAAACGCTGTAGTCATATGCCAGGCCGCCTAAGTGGCGCTGCTCCGCCACAAATACACCAAAAGCCAGCGAAGAAGACCCCGGAGCATGGCCTTGCCCATGGCTTGCCCCTTCTGTTATCTTCCGCGGTGGGCGCGCCGGTGTTCTCCTGCCTGCTATATCTCTCAGGTAGTCACCGCAGGGATGGGAAAAAACACCCACCTCTCGCCTTCTTCCAAGGAACGAGGGGGCCGGTGCCGGCCCCCAGAGTTTCGCTTTTAAAAAAAATGTTTCCGCGGGTCAACATGTCCGTTAAAGTTTAATCTTCCGCTTACAAAATTAGCAAAGAGTGGCCGGTCAGAGGTCTTCTTTTGTTATTTATTGAGCTTTTAAAACCATAATTCATAACGACCTGTTCTCTGCTTAATAATATAATAATATTTCATAAACCAGTGGCCTGGCCCCTCTCTTTTCCTCCCGCTCTTCTGACAGCCAGCCAGCAGCCAGGAAACGTGGGGAGAGGGGAGGCGCGCGCTTATTTTCATCGTTATCAAAAATGATCATACTCGCGCTTACACATCAGGAGGCCTTGTTGTGAGCTGCATGATCCCCCCGCAGAGCGTGCGTATGCTGGTCTACCCACTATTGGGACCTGGGACCCGTTATCTTTACCGTAGGTCGTTAGTGCCCCCCCTCCCCCACAGAGCGGAGCAAGGCAACGAAACTTAAAATAAGAGGCAGCTTTACGGCGGGCCTATGCATGGGGGACCGCCTTGGAGGGGGTTTCCGCGACATGTCGTTTCAGTAATTATTAAAGGGTGTTTTCATGTGTCGTTGCTGTGGGACTTCTCATACTTGCGAAAAATGCCGTTAATACTTTTTAATAGCCTTAATTTTTCGCTAAATGGGATTATCAACTTTAATACTTTTATTAAGACTCCCGTGGACACCCTGAGTTTTTCAGTATCATCCATAAGACCAATAGGAGTACACTACAGAGAAGAAATCGCAATAAAATACACTAACACATAGCAGGCACACTATTTAACATACGTTATTAGGTACAACATTCATAGCTGACAGTTTAGCTCAGCCGGACACAGCTTCAGTTAACTAGCCTACAGATAAAGTTAGCTGATTCCCCCCTCCAATTACTCCTTACTGGTGTTCCATTAAACAACGGGGTGAGAACGTATGAGAAATGGCCAGAAGACCATGTTTATTTCAGTAAACATGCCAAAGGATGAATGAAGACGTGTTAATACTTTAATTAACTAGCTTTTTACGTTCTTTCAGCCGGCCTAGCTAAGCTAACGCGTCAACGCAACTGTAGAGTTTTATAGCTTCTACGTTCTTTTCAGCCAGCCCGACTAACTAAACTAAGCTAAGCTAAATAGTGTCAAACGGCGTTGTACCGACCCGGCTGCGCACACAGACTTGGTATGTCACGGCCAGCAGAGCAATACTGTTCTGCTAGGTTAACTCTTGTCATGTAAACATCAAAGTTAAACCAAATAAATAATTTGATTCTAGTGGAAGTTACGTAATTCAAGTTCTCAGTATCCCACAGTTAAGGTTAGATTAGCAACATTTAATTATTTAGTATGTCATCTTATCTACTCAACTTATTACCACTGGTCTTGTTATTTTCTCTTCATCTCATCTTTTTCTCCTCCTTTTTTCGCTTCCAGAAAGTAATTTTCTCTTCATTTTTCAGTGCCTTTTCCTTGTCAT